TTGTTATCAGCAAGAAATATAGCAATTTCTTTTTTGAGCTCAAACACTCTTAGAAGTACTTTAAGTATTTTGTTGATTTGTTTTTGACACTTACTCAGCATTTAAAAATAATATTTTTGAAACAGCTTCGCGCCCCCCTTGGAACGGTATGGCGCCACCCAGGGGGGCGCGCCCCACAGGTTGGAAATCACTGTTATAACTCTTGTTCTGCTTTTAAATTTTTACTGTTCTATCTATTTACTATCTATTAAACTTTATTTTTGTTAATTAAAAAGAGTAACGTCTTCTTTTGTAAGAGGCACCATATTTATAACAATTTTTTACATTTTTTTAAATGGTTGATTATCTGCAGTACAATATTGGAACATCTATATCTGATCATCAATATATATATATATATATATATATATATATATATAATTATATATAATAAAATTTGCAATACAATTTTATTTAAAAAATACGAGAAAATTTTCAATATCGTTTTTTTATAATAAATTTAAAAAAATTGGTGAATTAATTTAAATTACTTCATATACATTAATGATTCTAGCATTTTTATTTGAAAATTTAGCTTATTGCTAATTGTAAGATCTTATTTCTTTATTATTGTTTTGCCAAATTTTTAATTATTTCTTCAATATGGATATTTAGTGTTTATTTACTATTATAACAAAAAATAATATGAAAAAATCGTTATTTAAAATATATTTGACATTAGTGATTCTTCAAGTATAGAGTCCATGAATGGTAAATTTGTGTCAATTGATACGCTACTAATAGCTTTAATTATACTAGTCCGCACTCAAAAGTTCCAGAAGGAGTCTATAAATACGATGTTGTAATTATAGCCCAAGAACAAAAAGTTAATTTTTTATTTAATTCGTTTATAATGGAGGAAGAAAATCCTAGATTTTTGCGATAGCAATGATTTTAACATTACAATAGTAAATTCATTACCTCTTTTGTTTTTGATTTCGGTTCTTAAATTTTATAATGGAGGTAGAAAACTCCTTGATATTTGCGATGGTATGGATTTGACGAACTGGTATAGAATTTAATTCCAAATAAATACGCATTTATAATTGTGAAGAGTTACGTCGAATAATAACGTCGAAGATTTTAAGTATTTCTACTTGTAATACAGAGTCTGAAATTGCTTTAGATGAGTTAATTACTCTGCGTTGTCAAAGAAAAAATATTTAAAAAGTTATTACTAAAGTTATAGTTTTACGTGCAAATTATAACCCTAGTAGATACGCAACTGAATGTATTTCTTAATTTCTAATCAATGTTATTTTCTCATATATATTAGCAGTGTCTGCTTAAGGCGTTAGAATAAGCTGATTGCAAAATAAAGTTAATTAAAAAATGTTCTCCATATTTTCTTATCCATTGATGAGATAGAATTATATTTCGAAATGGTTTGTAAAATTAAGTTGCTTAAAAATCTCTACCTTCTCTTTTTCACTTGTTGATATGCCCACCATGATTGTATTCATACATTCAAGTATTAACCCATTTTCAATATATAATGATAGAAACATAGATTCAGTTCAAGTTGTTCATTCCTCTGTCACCAATGCTTTTTCTGATCAAATCTAGCCTGTCTGTCGTATACGTTCCGTATGTATAAATTCAGTCATTGCCATTAGATGTCGTGAACCCTTTCCCGCGAACGCGAGCCAAGTATCATGATACACGTTGACATAGATTGCACAGGTAGACCAGACGATACCCCTTTTGCAACGGCGCATTGGCACGCGAGCATTGTCTGCGCGAAAGAAGGTGTTTGAACTAACTCGTTTATCTTGAAAGTGACAGTACATTCGCGAACGCGCTCTCTGAACCAATGCACGAAACATAATTGCAACGAAACCTTACAATATAAACATATACCTACATGTGCTGGCTAGAATTCCAATTATTTCTTACCAAATTTTTAACGTCATTGACAAATAGGAGAAGTACGGACAAAATGACATGGTGGTTTGTTTTTACTCAATTGTTTTTACTCATCTTTGGTTCATTCACTCGATCTACCTCTCAAAAATTGAGTGCCACTACAACCAACTCATTGCTTCTCTAAACAATTCTTCATCACTAAGAAGACTGGAAAGATTCTGGCCAAGCGACCTTAAATGAAACACTAGGCTTCACTCATTGGAGTGAACTCTAGTTAATTATTTCTTTTTCTCTTTTTTTTTTCTTTTTCTTTATTAATAATATTTTATTATTATTATTATTTTTATTTATTTATATTTTTTTTTCGATTCCTTTGTGTCACAATAGCTTATAAGATTAAATTGTATTTTGATTGCTATTAATAACTAAATATAAATAAAATCAATAACTAGTTGTAAAAAAAAACTTTTGTTTATTGACTACCAGTAAGATAGTATCTTAATAAAGTAAGAACTATAATAACATATTTATCAAGAAAAAAGTGCAATCTATTACAAAAACCATTTTGCCAATATAGTACGGACAAAAAGACATATAAGGTAAGGACATGCTGCAATGCTAAATTTTAAGAAAACAGTTCACATATAATTCGATATGTCCTCTTTGGGACATTAGCATATCAAGCATGAACCCAATATCATGTATCGTAACCAATCTTCGACGGGCTCAGAACAGAAAAATAGGATTTTGCAACAAATGCAAAACTCTTATTTTAACCGGCGGATCTTTTGGTCTATTTTAGCAATTATTTCCTGCATACTTGGAAGAAGTTAAAAGCCAATCACTTATCATAGATTTCATTTTGGCCTTGTAATGCTTGCGAAATAGTACTACCAATCACCTTCGATTTTTTTAAAAATTTTTTTCTGGACCTTTTTGTTTTCTTGACCATAAACTACTTTGTTAGTGCTTGCGAAATACTACTTTGCCATTTTATCCATTGTTTAAGTATGTCATTTTGTCCGAAATTGAATAATAATAAATAATTAATCAAAATTTTACCAAATACCTGATTATAGGAATAAAATTCGTCAATATAACTAGTAGTGCCATAAATTTATTGATTTTAATTTAAATAATTATAATTATAAATAAATTGGTCCCCAAAACATGGAAGAAACACCCTCAAAATAAACGTTTTAAGACACGAAACACGTTTGAACTAATTACTAAGATAAGATTGTGGCAATGACGCTCTATATCTGACATGATTGTTATTATAGCTTTCTTCATGTTATACAGTCGCGAAATCGGTAATAAACACTATGTCATTTTGTCTATATATACCATTTTGTCCGAATTTCCCCTAATTGATATTGATATTGATTCCCCTAATTGATATTTGAGTAAATTTTTGTATATATTTGCATAGATCACTAATTTATGTAAGGAGATAATTCGCACTTTTTAAAGTTTTGCACGAAACATAATTGCAACGAAACCTTACAATACAAACGTACACCTATACAGTTGAAATCGAATTTCTTATCAAAATGACAATTGTATTAACATTGAAAGATATATTTGAGTAACTCTTCTATATTTTCGTATGGATTACTAATTTATGTAAGTAGCTAATACTCGCATCTTAAATTTATGCACGTGCATCTATACTTGAATTTCAATTTGGCTAATACGCATTTTTTGAATTTATGTGCAAGCCATAGTTGCTATATTTTCAAGTGAAAATAACCCTCCTGTATTGCTGCAATAATAATAAGTCATCATTATTATGGAGATTGTTTTTTTCAACACTTCGGAACAGTTAAACCTGTCTTTTCAAATTGCATCAAAACCGTATGCAAACATATGAATCCATTTTTATTTTAACATACGCCAAAATATTTCTAAATACTAAATTTAATAATAAGAAATAGTTCTATGAAATGTCCTCTGAATTCAAAAATTATGAATCATTCGCATTATATTATAAAGGCGGTAAAAATCTGGGAAAATTAAAGTAAATGTTAGTCAAAAAAAGTGAGAATTTGGTTTCTAAGAAAATTTAAAAAAAGTCTTTAAAATTATAATAAGTAGGTAATTAATATGTTGATTATATATGTTCTTGAGTTTGAAATATTTTATATTAGATGTCTAATTTTTTAATATACGTATATATTTCATACATTTATATCTTATATGTATATATATATATATATATATATATATATATATATATATATATGTATATATGTGTATATGTATTTGTGTACTCTATAAATATCTTTTTCTACACGTGCATAACCTAGAATGCAAATGAACCAGTGAGTCATAAATTATTTTCAGAGTGAATTTGCAAAATTTGTCAATACAATAGATTTTCCATAAATTATTATATTAAATTATTAAATTGTATTTGACTAAATAATATATAACATATATTATTAATTAAATGTTTTATAATTGGCCATGACAGTCAGGTGATGAATATATTTGAGATAAATCTATTAACGGTAATATTCCATATTTAAATATAAATGTTTCCATTACGAACGCGGTTTACAACTTACAATTGTCAAGAGTTTGTTAAATAGTGATTGTGTGTTAGTCTATTCATATGAATGCTTTATGTGAAGTTACTGAATTAAGCGTGAAGTCTGTCATTCACATAGCTTATTATTATTAAATTCCTCAATAATTCCGTATTTCACTATAGAAATATTAAAAAGTACCGCTATCGTATTTAGTTAACGTAGTCCCGGCGAACAAGATGACATACCGCAGTACGGCGATACTGTAGCTTGATAGGTTTCGTACTTAAGAAATCGGATAGAAGAATTTTATGGTAAAAGTTCATTTTGCCAAAACATATAAGTTCATTCATTAATAAATTAGTTACAATCATTGTGATGTTTTGCGTATTTAGTAAGCTTGTCAGATTTTTGATAATCTCTTACTAATTATTTTTCTGCTGAATATGTACATTTTGTAATTAATTATAAGCGAGGTTTCAGTCATATTAAATTTGTTATTAAACTGACATGATGTTTTTTACTCATGCCCAATATTTATTGCTATTGTTTATTTTGTTGCAGATATCTGCAGTCGGTGAGATGAGCCCCGAGCATAACGGGGCGCGTCTGAACGGCGGCACCGTTGTGAGCGGCGTAGGCGCAACAGATCGAGGCGGCTGGCAACCAGTGCCCCAACATGATGCTGATCAACCCCCATCTGGTGTTACAATCGTACCGCCATGTAACAACAACGGCACACTTCTTGCCAATGGCAAATCATCCTGCAATGGACATAGGGATGATGAAAATTCCGCACTGACCGGCGGAGTAAATGCCACCCCCGCTTCTCATCTTTGCGACGACGATGAGATACAATGCGGAGTCGGATCATGCAAACCGCGCTGGGCCAGGCCTCTCGCTTCCACGCGAGTTTTCATGGTGGTGTTTTTACTCGCCTGGATTTTACAAGGCATGTACTATACATACTTTGTGAGTGTCATCACAACGATAGAAAAATTGTTTCAAATCAAATCGAAAACTACGGGTATGTTGATGAGTGCCACCGAGGTGGGACAGATCAGTACGGCGCTGCTCCTGACTTATTACGCAGGGCGTGGACATCGGCCGCGTTGGATCGCATGTGGTATGGTTTTGTTTGCGATATCATCATTTGGCTGCACGTTGCCACATTTTATTTACGGGGACAGGCTGCTGCAGGCAACCGTCGATACGATACCACTACCAGGATCGGAGGATCGCACTGTGTGTCGAGCACTCAATGCTTCTTCTAGCACATCGTCATTATTACAGCAGCCTAGTTGTGATGCAAGTGAAGTGTTGGTTGAACAAGCTGCACATTCGCAGATCACGAACAGTGTACTTACCATGTGGTTTATAAGTTTATTAGGCGTTGGTGTTGGTCAAACTGCTGTATCGACTTTAGGCATTCCTTACATAGATGACAATGTCGCAAGCAGAGAATCTCCTTTGTATATATGTGAGTTGAATTATATTACTCAACATTATGAATTGTGGATTTATATTTATTCAAATTGATATTTGTAGCAATAACTATCGGAGTGCGAATTTTGGGGCCTGCATCTGGATTCATACTTGGTTCTTTGTGTACGCGTCTCTATGCAGATCTCAGCGTAGATCCACACATGGATCCTTCGGATCCACGCTGGGTCGGTGCTTGGTGGCTCGGTAAGTTTCATTATCAGTAATATATCACCTTATAGATCTTAATCTCAATTTATAAATTTGTTATTTTTATTCAATAATATTTATCTCAGTGAAGTTATTCGATTTATTTGTATTTTATGAATTCAATAACCAGTAATCTTTATAACAAATAACAGACGTCTGAACTTTTCAATATTATCATATGACATTTTGTTATAAATCGAACAAATTTTAATACGCTTTAATGGTCTTGTTGATGTCAATTTCCGATAAATTTAATGACTGGTGCGCTGAAATGTTCACCTTTTGACATTTGATTTCGATTTTTGTTTACTTCGCGTGCCAGTATTGGTAGAAAGACCTGAGCATTCATTTATTTATATTCATGTATATTCGCTCGCCATATCAAATCTGGGGAGCACGCGTCATTAAATTCAATCTTCCTCTTTCAATATGAATAAAGTGAACGATTTATTGCTAAACAACTGACAATGTTGCAGGATCGTTTACTATGTGTCAGATTACAAAATGCATTTTCATTCAAATTATATCTTAATGAGGATCTCTGTATCTATATAGCAAACCACATCTATAGCGGCTCAATTATTTCTATTGATATTGATCTATTATAGTGAAACGCTTTATTTAAATATAAAATATATTCATTCAAACACGCTATATAATAATATATGTATTTTCTTGAACCTAATTCTAACATTCTCTGTTATATATAAGTTGAAACTTATTTGTCATGTTGACATAATAATAGACTGCCTTTTAAATGGCTTTTTTTAATGCAAGCTCTTGAAAGTTTTTCTGACTATTATGTGATATTGTCGAAATTCCATTCCGCTTAATCAACTACTATAATCACGTTATAATTATGAATATGCACGATTTACTAGAATTTTTTTTCTCCATATATACACATGTAACGCATTGAATGAAAAATAAATATTAATATATTTAATATCAAACATTAGTAACATCTAGTATTGTTTCATTATTACGGCGACGGTTCAAATTTCAATTTTGGTTTGTAAAGATATAACCTATCTTTAATTCTCTAGTTTTTTATTATAATCTTTTGTCGCCATTGTCGAACTAAAATTTTTTTTATAAATTTTGTACGAAAGTACGCTATCAATTATATATAAACGTTAATTAAAAACATAGTCTAAAATCAATGATGTTCCTTGTTTTGGAAACAAGCTAGCTTATACACACATAAAATTTAGTTTTGTTCATTAAACGAGGAGTTTCCATATTATCTACATATTTCCATCATAGACATAGAGAGTAGTAAGAATTCGATGCTGTAACATATATTTTGTAGTATTCTATTTTGACATTAAAACAATAAAAATGTTATTGCATGCATGCAATAATCTCGTGTAAATGCAAAATTAATGAATATCATTTAAAAAAATATTTTCAAAAATCGTGTAAGATCGACAACGTGTAAAACGGGGGATAGATGTATAGAATATTTTATTTTGAATTTGTTTATTTTTAGATATTTGAATAAATGTTAATTGGTTGCTCCCTTATGAATATATGTGGGATATCATTTTGTGTGTTTATTCCGTATTATTTTGCATCGCAGGTCAATTTTATAATTATAATGAACGTCATCTAGTCATGAGCAAAATTTTTTTTAAACTTGATTAATTACGGTGCAAAATAAACTGCGTAGATATTGTAATACAAAATATCATCTTCAGCAGTATATATAATGTCATTCCTCATTTCCGCAGCTACCTCTGGTCTGATAATTAACATATTCATAACGCCCGCTGGTGTGTTACCTTCACAGAATATATATTTATGTTCGTTTTGACCCGGGCCAGAGGTAGGGAGACCATGTATGTTTAGTCATTTTAAATTCAAATTCACGTTTCGTCGTACGTCTTATTCTATCGACTTCGTTGCATACATACATAAATATTTATGCACACACATTTAGACAAACGCATATTTACATACACACACGAGATAATTGAAACAAATTTATTGCATGTTTTTACACAAAACGTGTGTTTTTGACATTTTATTTCCTGAATACCTAATGTTTTATGTTATTTGTTCTGTTATTTAGACAATTACATTCATTAATTATACTATTTTATACGTTCGGGATATTTGACTTATCTATACTTCTTTATGACTTATTTAACTTGATAGAAAATCTTTATTATCCGATAATAACCAATATGTTAAATATTATTTTTTCAAAACGAAAATAAAAATAAGTTTTTATGAATCAATAACTATGGAAACGAAAAAAATATTAGGTATAAACATTCAATAGAAAACATATGAGCTTCTATAAATATACAAAATTTTTATACATCAAAATAAAGTTTAACTAATTTATTAGTTTATTGGAATTTTCCAAACTAAAATTTCTAAAAGTTAGGAAAAAGTTGTGAAAAGTTAGAATATTTTCAAACATTTTTCAAAATTTTGAATATTTTTTGAAAAAATTGAAATAAATGCCTTTGTTGAAAATTATGAAATTGTTTGAATAAGTTAAAAATATGTGAAAATACTGATGCTTTTTTGTTTTGAAAATTCTCAAAATTTTGATCTTTTTTGAAAGTTTTTGATAACCATTCATGTCGGTTGATAATATATCTGATTTTCAACCTCCACATGGCTTTTTTTTAACTTTTTTTCTGGATCTACGAAACTGCTTGAAGTGAATCATTCAAATCGGATACTTCGTTTTCTTAAAATCTGAATTTCTATTTGCTGCACTTTTTAGCTTTAGGAAGGGCTGGACCATTTTTTACCGAAAACTAATCAGCACGTCTCCTCATCAATAGGAATTAAATGCTTTTTGAATGATTCAAATCGGTTGATCCATTCTCCTAAAAACGTGAATAAAAATTTCATCCACACATACATACACACACGTACACACAAGCCCACACACAAAAACATTTTTTCTAAGAAATGTCAAAATGTTCAGAAACCTTCAAAACATAAAGATATAAAAAAAATATATTTTAATTTTTGGACGATTACTATAAGTTGCTCTGTGGGAAGTTAATATTTAAGGATCTTTATTATAACAAATTTTTGGACATATATTTTTATGACTTGATCTGCTTTCGGCTGATTAAACATAGTTCTCTTTAATGTTCTTAAATAATTTGTATTATATACAATTAAAATATATTTTTACGTATTTTCAACTGTCGTATAGATTTTTTAATAAAATAGCATATCGATTTTGTTTTCTGGAAATCGATGATTTATGATTGCATTACCTATATATACATATATGTATATATATATATATATATATATATATATATATATATATATATTTGTAAATTATAATTTAGTCCGCTATAATTGAAAAATTATATGAAGCACTTTATGCAATTGAATTTTCACAATTATTTCTTTAGGCTATCATTTGCCTAATAACTTTACATATTTGATAGTTTCGATATAGCGTGCATTGGTTTAATTTATAAAATGCAAGGCTGAAGTAAAGCTCGCACAAAGTTTCACAATTTGGCAAGAGCATTCGACTTCCATACTAATATAATGAAGGCAACGATTACATATTGATATTTAGCAACCTGAGCATTACGTTATACTGCATCATTTCTAGAATTCCGTACATTGAAGATGTTGATGTTGGGGGGTTTCTCAACCCCTTTCGAAGTATTTTATACTTCGAGGAAAAATAAAAAAATTAAATGTATTCAGAAAACAAAAACCAATGGTAAACAAATATAAATTAAAAATAAAGTTTTTCTTAATCCGTAATCAATAATAAACTAAAATATATTCTATATAAATTTTATATAAATGAAAAACAAAAATAAACACTAATTAATATTGTATGAAAATGTTATCTGTTTTGGAAGTCCAAGCCGCGGCAGCTATTTGGTTGGATCTGGAAACATCAGCGTAGTCGGTTGGATAGGTTGAAAAGAAATTCGAATACACTGACAAATAAAAATAACTGTTGACTTGACACACAATAGAAATTTAATCCACTGATAATATTGAACTGATAACAAACACTGAAAGGAACTGAATGTATTGATTGCAAGTAACTGAATGAATGAATTAAACCAAAATGAATGAAAACCACGGAATAAATCAACTCGAACACTGTAAGGAACTGAAAGTAACTGAACGAATGAAAGGCGCGGAATGAATTGATTTGAATGCCAAAAACTATTGCCTGCATCGGCCTTTTTATGAGTCAGAATTGCCCGATTGCCTAAATTTGAAACGTATTGTCCGAGTAGAAAAACAAACCTTTTACAGGTCCGACAACCTACACAGGTGCGGCGCAAACATTTTCCCCCGACTAAAAGGTTAGCCTTTTATACTTCTGAAAATACTCGAAATTGGTACATAGTGAACCTCATGATTAGGAAGGATAGAATTGCCAAAAATAAATTCAAACTTTCATTCAGAGTAGATCGGTTACGGAAGCCTGACCTCGCGCCAGGGTCCCCCTCTCACGACCTACCACATTCACACGATCTAGATTGCGGAAGTTTTATTTTCGCGCCAGGGTCTAGATTTTTTGGACATTTACAAGAATCTTCCAGAGACTATGAGGGGTGTTCTCATCGCCCTGAAGATTGAAAATTTGGCAAAACTATATATAGAAGCAAATATATCATGAGATAGAAAAGTTTTTTTTTTTTTTTTTTGAAATGAATAATTCAGATATAAACTATTGAATAGGTAGGGGGCATAGTTTGACAACAGGCCGCTTGATTAGGGTATTTCCCGTTTTTACCAATGCTACTCGAACCACTCCATCGGAGCCCGGAAAAACCTCTTCAACTTTTCCCAACCCCCAATGGAGCGGACGCGCATTCTCTTGTTTTACAACTACCAAATCACCCTTTTTAATAGGATTAGTGACTGTATTCCATTTCTGTCGGACCTGTAGCTCGGTTAGATATTCCACATTCTATCGCTTCCAGTAAGAAGCGACAATATGATCTAGCAATTGTTTTCTTTTAGTCAAATTCAAG